CCCCTCCCACCGCCCGCGCAGACCGAGCCCCGACAATGGAAGCGTATAAAATTGTGGCCACCACGTCCCATCGGCACGTTTCGTGCTAGCCCTCGTGCTAGGGAGGTCTTCTCGCCAACCGCGCCCGCCGCTCACCCATGGTGACCAGCTGATCGCCGCCGCTGTCGTTCTTCCTATCCGTCACCATTCCTTCCATCAACTCTCGTCTTCTCCTCCGTCAGCTTTTTAGCTCATTTGCCAAAATGCCTGAAGGAGTCGAGAAAGTCCGTTACCAACCGTGAGTAATCGTACAATTGTTTTGCTCAAATTTTCTTTTTATTCAGCTGTTCTCCTGTGGCCGTCAGGAAGAATCAGGTCCATGGCAATCCAGTTGTTCTGTTCCGTTGTTGTGAATGGTTTTGAGGCTTATTTAATGTCAGTGTCGTTATTTAAGATAATTTTTCTTTACTGATTCTTAAGATACTGTTGAAGCCATGATGGATATTTTTTCTGTTTTCTTTTGTTTTGTTGTTTTTATATATCACAATTTTACATTATAAAGGGATAAAAAAGTTCACATCAAAAGATCAAACCAGCAGTTTTGGTCACACGTTCACTGTGAAGTGAGTTTTTAATTCGTTTATCTTCACTGTTACATAAAGCGGGAATATCGTTGAACATTATCCGAAATCTAATATTTTGGCTTCTGTCCAGGACAGCAAAAAAGTATAGCACTTACTGCCTAGAGCTCAAAGTTTCACTCGTTGCGAACTCTGCACCCAAAACATTGCCTCGCAGAAATTTATACAATTGAAGCAACGGTAATTTTATCCCGTCTTTAGATGGAACTCTTTGTGATAAATTTCTTGACAGATGTTCCAGTCGTTCATTTAGTTTGTCAAAACAGTTTTATTCTGATATATCACTAGATGTAGATCGTGTACGTCAACCAAGGCAATTTTGCACGTGAAACATCTTTGGTGATGTTTCTGATTCACTGTTCAAAATTTAAATAATAATAATAAAGAAAATGTAAATTTCTATATTTCATGCATTCAATATTTCATAGATTTAAGCCATGGGTAAAAAAATTTATTCATCTTACAACCTAAATTGTATTGAAATGTGAAATATATTTTTTAATTAAAAAGTTCTTACCATGAAACTGTATAAAAGGATTCTCTCTAATAATGACATTTTGTATGTTACAGATGTGCCACCACGGTTTCCCGATATGCCAAGACGATGGCACAGCCCAATGTTGGGCTGTACAAACACCTCCGAGGCACAAGTATTGTCAATGGCGACCTCCAAATGCTTTCACCCCAGGTCAGCATTCAGAGAATAATAATAATAATTCCCAGAGGCTTGCCCTCTAAAAATAACATTGCTGAATAAAACTTTTTAATTCTCTTGTTAGTGTGGAGTATGTAAATTGAACTTTGCCTTGTTCAGGTTCGATCTTTTGTGGAGGAAGCAGTCACACTCTGTCAACCTGAAAACATTCACATCTGTGATGGATCTGAAAACGAAAATGCACAACTGCTTCACTTGATGCAGCTTCAGGGAACCATCCAACCACTTCCTAAGTACGATAACTGGTAAGTAATTTTCAAATATGATCTTCCTATTTCTTTTGTAAAACAAACAAAATTCTTGAAACTCATTGTAAAAAATATTTAAATGACTGAAGTCTTTTCAATCTATTTTAGCTGGTTAGCTAGAACAAATCCTGCGGATGTTGCACGAGTAGAGAGCAAGACCTTCATCTCCACTCCAAACAGAAGGGATACAATCCCTGATGCCAAGCCTGGTATCAAGGGAAGTTTGGGCAACTGGATATCTCCTGAAGACATGGAAAGAGCAGTTCATCAGAGGTTTCCTGGATGTATGCGAGGTAATTAATCTTTCTAGTGAAGATATTTCTTCATATCAATTTTTTAAAGAGTGCATCACCAAGAAAATAAGATTAAAATAGTGAGATGAAGGAATATATTGTATGTTTTATAATACTAACATGGTTATTGGATATGCTTTAATGAACTTTTTTTTTCTTTCTAGGGCGCACAATGTACATAGTTCCTTTTAGTATGGGTCCTGTGGGCTCACCCCTTTCCAAGATTGGCATAGAAATCACCGATTCACCATATGTTGTGAGTTCCATGAGGATTATGACACGTATGGGTCTGCCTGTGCTCGAGCTTCTTGCCAATGGTGCTGAATTTGTAAAGTGCTTGCATTCTGTTGGTAATGCCTCTTTACCATCTAGTGAATATCGAGGATGGCCATGTGATCCAGAGAAAACTATCATTTTGCACAGGTTAGTATGACTTACTTTCTCCATGAAAGAAATTATTAAATTTCTATAAATGTGTTTTTAAAACAATTTATAATTCAAAATAAAGCATTTTTAAAATTTCCTCTTTTTTTTGTTTTAGGCCAGAGAAAAATGAAATAGTTTCATATGGCAGTGGTTATGGAGGCAACTCCCTGTTAGGCAAGAAATGCTTCGCTCTTCGCATTGGTTCTACTATTGCAAAGAGAGAAGGCTGGTTGGCAGAACATATGCTGGTATGGTCATATTACAAAAATAGTTTGTTTTCATTTCTTTTCTCTGAACTCCCCTGAAGGAAACTTTTTTACCCAACACAGACTGTCATAAAAAGCCATCTATATTGAACACTGCTCGTTGTGTATATTTTACAAATGTTCATTCCCTCCTGAGATATGGCATAATAGCCTGGGGAAATACATCTTATAGCTCCCAGACTTTTAGATTACAAAAAAAGAATTGTAAGAATTAGGAGCAAATCTCACTCATGTGATTCTTTATTAATGGAGGTATTTTACCATTACCTTGTCTCTTAGTATATGAATTAGTGGCTCTTGTCAAAAATGACTTACTTAAGGACGGGAATATATTTTCAGCAAACACATTTATCTATAACTACAGTACTCAACATAGTAATCATATTCATCAGGTAACAGTATCAACAGCTCACTACAAAAAATTCACATATAATACATGTACATTTATTTTAAAACACATTGCAGATTGAACATTAAACTATTAAATTCAATACAAATGTTTAAGCCCCAAGTAAAATCTTTTCTGTCTGCAACAATTTTTTTCTAATACAATTAGAGTCTATACCGGAGCATCCAAAAAGAATGTAGTATTAATTTTAACATGACATTTAACTGTATTATATATCATCTTGGATTTGTATATTGTAAAGAACCTGTACAAAGTATTGTACTATCAGCTTCTGGATCAATGACCCCCATCTTGATCAGGTTTTCATCACTTTCTATGGTCTTGAGAAATGCTGAGATGCTTGTTTTGCTTCTGGACATAAATGTAACTTCAAATTAACTTCTCCCCATAGCATGTCACACACTGTTTTTGACATAATTAAATAAAATTAAATAGATTCTATCTTTTCCTCAAAATAGATTTTCAAGGTATATAAAAAATAAATTATGGACAATTCACTAAATTTGAATGTTAAATGAAAAGTAGCATTTTTTTTATAATTCGATTTTTTTCATACAGATCCTGGGCATTACTGATCCAGCTGGCCGGAAGAGGTATATTGCAGCAGCATTTCCAAGTGCTTGTGGTAAGACCAATCTTGCCATGATGAATCCTTCCCTTCCTGGATACAAGGTTGAATGTGTCGGGGATGACATTGCTTGGATGAAGTTTGACAAGAATGGTCAACTCAGGGCTATTAACCCTGAGAATGGGTTCTTTGGAGTAGCTCCTGGTAAGAGGCTAAAATTTTAGGCCAATCTTTCTCCTTAATTTCATATTCTTTCCAGCATGTAATTCAATTATAATTTTTTACTTTTCAGGCACTTCAATGGCAACTAATCCTAATGCCATGAAGACAGTTTTCCAAAACACAGTTTTTACAAATGTAGCAGCCACCAATGATGGTGGTGTGTTCTGGGAAGGCTTAGAAAATGAACTTAATCCACATGTGAAGGTTACTGATTGGCAGGGCAGACCATGGACTAAAGATTCTGGACGACCTGCTGCTCACCCCAATTCAAGGTATGAAACAATCTCTGTACATAAGAAGCTAAACAAGTGCTTAAAGTGTTCTGTGGAACATATTTAAAATTATATCTCAAAGCTAATAAAAGGTAAAAGGTGTACTAACTAAATACATTTCTTGCAGATTCTGTTCACCAGCTGCTCAATGTCCTATTATTGATCCTGCGTGGGAAGACCCCGAAGGGGTACCTATTGATGCCATTCTATTTGGAGGGCGCCGCCCAACTGGTGTCCCTCTTGTTTATGAATCTTTCAATTGGCAACATGGTGTGTTTCTTGGTGCTGCTATGAGATCCGAATCAACTGCTGCAGCAGAACACAAGGTAAGAATGCTTTTGTAAATTTGAGAAATAATTAAGCGTTTGAGGCAGGAAATGTCAAAAATTAACCTTATTCAGTTTTATTAACTTTTTTCATTATGTACTTTCAGGGAAAAGTAATTATGCATGATCCATTTGCTATGAGACCTTTCTTTGGCTACAACTTTGGACATTACCTTGCTCACTGGTTAAGCATGGAATCACGTGCTGGAGCAAAATTGCCAAAGATCTTCCACGTCAACTGGTTCAGAAAGAGTGAACAGGTAATTCCTGATTAGTATTTCACTTCATTAAAGTTAACACTGATTTCCTTTTTTCCTCACTACATGCTTAGTGAAAGTATATAATTAATGGACCACTTGAGCATATATCTTGATGTTATTTAATCTATTTTTCATGACTTTCTTAGGGCAAATTCTTGTGGCCTGGATTTGGAGAAAATTCACGGGTCCTTGACTGGATATTGAGGCGTATTGATAATGAAGACATTGCTGAAGTGTCGCCCATTGGCTACATTCCCAAGAAAGATTCCTTGCGATTGGAAGGTCTGCAAGAACATATTGACTTAGACCAACTTTTCAGCTTGCCTAAGAACTTTTGGCAGCAGGAAGTAAGTTGAATAGAAATCTTTTTTCAAATTAGTTTTTACAATCATTAATAGTAACAAGCACTGCCCGATGAGAGAAAATTAATTACACAGATTTGTGTAATAAATTAATATTTTTTGCAAATATGTAACTTGACATGGAAATTTGTATATTCATTTGTTTTCTAATTTGTTTGTTTCTAGGTGGAAGATATTGCAAAATACTTCAGTGAACAAGTAGGAGAAGACTTGCCATCAGCTATTGCCCAAGAGCTGGCAGCACTTAAAGAAAGGATCAACAAAATGTAAATTTCACAGCTTTATCAACAAGACTGTCTTTTATCAGACATTTCCAAGTAAAAATTGGAGATCTCAAAGTTATTTGTATATATGTAATGAAGAAAAGTATTGATATCGAGATATCCAAATGAATTTTCAAATTTCAGATATGAAATAATAATATCGTTTTTAAGTAGACCATCTTGCAAATGTCTTAAATGTATCAGATATTTGTATGACATTTATTTTTGTAAGAGCTATAAATTATTTTGTTCAGTGTTATGTCTGCTCATATTACGTGCTATGTGTTTTGTGTTGTCTATTGTAATTGTAACTCAACAAAACTCGATGTTAGTTGTATTTATTAAAATATTGTGTCATAAAATGTACCTTTCTATGCAGAAGTAATTCTGTTTGATATCAACAGTATGTCCATGTTTATTGTAAAATACACAACTTAAATTTTATCAAAGTCTCTGCAAATTATGCTAAAAAAATGTAAATTTAATATTTTTATACAAACAAAATAAAGTACTTAATTTATAGAAACAGTGTGCCTGAGTTTTCATAATCTTCTAATATTCTCTCCATCACTTCAAATGTTTCTAAAAGAATTAAATCTCATACCTATCTCCACTTTCTCCGTACAAATATTTCCATGCTTCGGTAGTTCACAAAATATGTCAAGAAAACCAAATTATTTGGATTGCAAGTCAAGTTTGTAAGTTTTCTTGCTACAGTTACACTCATGAAAATTCTCCTCATGGAATTTCTGATGTTAATTCACAATTTAATGTTTTGAACTTGCACATAAAAATTAGATATATTTACTATATTTAGAAGCAAACAATTTCACCTTCCATCTAAAAAATATCAAGCCAACTACAGAGTTTTAATTCTGTTAAAATTTGAAAAATATACCCTTATTCTCATTAACTTCGTACCAAATCACATGTACAAAAAAATTAAAATGAATTATTGAAAAAATAATTTTTATTTTATTAAGTTTTCCTCCATCTTTCCTTCCCCCCAAGCCATTTTAATTATATTTCAACAATATTTGAATTTTAGGGATGCTTATCACTGGACCTGAGGGTATTTGATGACTCCCTCTCTTTGGTCTCCCACAGGCATGTTAAACTAGGCCTTATTGCTTTTTCTGTCATTACTGCGGCTGTATAACAACAACATACCTCTTCTAATTGCATGAAGATCGGATACTCCAATACAAATTCTTGAGTTGGGAACGTTTTCTGATATCCAGTCTTCATGCAATACAAAGAGGTAGCGCAGTTCCCGCCACTTCGGCGATCTCTCTTGTCAGCTGAGAGAATAAATAAGCCGACCGCCGATAGAGTGAACTACATGTCACCCACTGGCGAGAATCGCCGGGGTGCTTGTCGATACCTCTTCTCATCGCATGAAGATCGGATACCTCAACACGAATTCTGAAGCGTGGAAACGTTTTCTCTTATCCGATCTTCATGCGACGCAAAGAGGTGGCGCCACCTTAGCGCTATCTCTTGTCAGTTGAGCGAACCTCTTAAGTGAGCGAACGCCGGATAGAGTGAACTACATGTCAACCCCTGACGAGAATTCGCGGGTGCTTGTCGATACCTCTTTCATCGCCATGAAGATCGGATACCTCAACCACCAATTTCTAAAGCGTGGAAACGTTATTCGTTATCCCGATCTTCATGCGATGGAAAGAGGTGGGCGCGGTTTCCCGCCACCTTAGCGCTATCCTCTTGCCAGTTGGCGAACTACTTAAGTGAGCCATGAACGCCGATAGAGTGAATCTACATGTCACCCACTGCGAGAATCGGCCGGGTGCTTTGCGATACCCTTCTTCTTATGCAGAAGATCAATACCTCAACACAATTCTGAGTTTTGGAACACGTTTTCGTTACCGATCTTCATGCGACGCACAAGAGGTAGCGCAATCCGCCACTTCAGCGCTCCTCTCTTGCCATGCAGAGCGAAACATTTTAGTGATCGCGAACGCGCGATAGAGTGAACTACATGTTCATCATCAACTACATGCCACTGGCGGGAATCGCCGGGGTAATGTGCCATAAAAGGAAGACTAGCTGATGCAGGGCTAGGCCAGGGCTGGGCCGGGCCGGGCAATGCCGGCAATGGTAATCTGCAGATCGCCGTCAATCGCCAATTCGTCACAAAAGAGAGTTGTGCTACAACGGCACGTACTTCCTTTTATAAAGCGTCGACTAAAGTAATGTTTCACCTTTTTTTCTAATATCGTGTAACTCACCGTTACTCTCGATGTTAGATCCTAGTGGTGCTATATCAGCTGATACTTGCATTATTTTTCCGCTACGCCATTTTATTGTACAGCATGAACCAGGGCCGGTTTTAAGAGTAAGCCGCCTGTAAGCTAAAGTTAATTTTGCGCCTCCTACATTGCTCAGAGTTGCATAATACATTTGTCCTATACAACAAAGGAGAGGCCATTAATGTTTTCATATTTTTTAAACATTAAAATAAAATAGATTTCATTTGTTTAGATAAAATTACAACTTTAATGGTTTACACAATAAATTATTTAGTAAAACCTGACAGTATTGCGAAAATGTGGTGGGAGAAATTAACGTAGGTGCCGATGGCTACCAGCAGGAAAATCGCGAGGGGGGGGGGATAAAAGCGAAAAGGATCTGAAAAGCTATTCGAAACTAAAGAGATTAGAAAACTAGTACGAGGAAGTGCGTACCATTCTGTAGCACCTCCAATTTTTTTAGTGACTTTTCAGGTAATTTTGGGTATCTTTGCATCGAGTCATACGTTAAGGAAAGATAATATTCGTAGTTTTTGGCAGTTTTTAAGAAAATTTTGGAAGGTATCCTCTGGAGCTACTTTTGAGAAAAGTTTGAAAATGTTGAGACTTCACATAAAATACCCATTAAAAACAAAACTCTCTCCAAAAGAGGTGGGCGCCACCTTAGCGCTATCTACTTGTCAGTTGAGCGAAACCTTTAAAGTGAGCGAAACGCCGATAGAGTGAACTACATGTCACCCACTGACGAGAATTCGCAGGGTGCTTGTCGATACCTCTTTCATCGCATGAAGATCGGATACCTCAACCACGCAATTCTGAAGCGTGGAAACGTTATTTGTTTATCCCGATCTTCATGCGATGGAAAGAGGTGGCGACGGTTCCCGCCACCTTAAGCGCTAATCCTCTTGCCAGTTGAGCGAACTCTTAAGTGAGCCAGAACGCCGATAGAGTGGAATCTACAATGTCACCCACTGCGAGAATCGGCCGGGTGCTTTGGCGATACCTTCTTCTTATCGCAGAAGATCGGATACCTCAACACAATTCTGAGTTTTGCGACACGGTTTTCCGTTATCCGATCTTCATGGACGCAAGAGGTAGCGCAATCCCGCCACTTCAGCGCTCCTCTCTTGCCAGCAGAAAGCGAACAGTTTTAGTTGATCGCGAACGCCGGATAGAGTGAACTACATGTCATTCATCAACTACATGCCACTGGCGGGAATCGCCGGGGGTAATGTGCATAAAAGGAAGACTAGCTGATGGCGGGCTAGGCGCAGGGCTGGGCCGGCCGGGCAATTTGCGTGGGCAATGGTAAGTCTGGCAGATCGCCGGTCAATCGCCAATTCGTCACAAAAAGAGAGTTGTGCTACAACGGCACGTACTTCCTTTTTAAAGCGTCGACTAAAGTAATGTTTCACCTTTTTTTTCTAGATAGTCGTGTAACTCACCGTTCTCGATGTTAAGATCCTAGTGGTGCTATATTCAGCCGATACTGTTACTGCAATTTTCCGCTACGCCATTTTATTGTACAGGCATGAACCATGGGCCGGTTTTATAGAGTAAAGCCCGCCTGTAAGCTAAAGTTAATTTTGCGCCTCCTACATTGCTCAGAGTTGATAATACATTTGTCCTATAAAACAAAGGAGAGGCCATTAATGTTTTCATATTTTTAACATTAAATAAAATAGATTTCATTTGTTTAGATAAAAATTACAACTTTTAATGGTTTCCACAATAATATTATTTTAGTAAAAACCTGAACAGTATTGCTGAAAGATGGGTGGAGAAATTAACGTAGAGTGCCGACTGGCTACCAGCAGGGAAATCGCGAGAGGGGGGGGGGAATAAAAGCGAAAAGGATCTGAAAAGCTATTCGAAACTAAAGAGATGTAAAGAAAATCTATACGAGGAAGTGCCGTACCAATCTGTAGCACGCTGCCAATTTTTTAAGTGATCTTTTCGGGAATTTTGGGTATCTTTGCATCCGAGTCATACATTTAAGGAAATGATAATATTCGTAGTTTTGGCCAGTTTTTAGAAAAATTTTGGAAGTATCCCTCTGGAGCTACTTTTGAGAAAAGTTTGAAAATGTTGAGGACTTTCACATAAATACCCATTAAAAAACAAAAACTCTCTCGCTCTCGCATGCGCTTGCTCTTCGGCTCTCTTCACTCTCGTCGCTTTCTCTCGCTCTCGTCTCCGCTTTCTCCTCGCTCTCGCATCCGCTCTTTCTCTCGCTCTCTGCATCTGGTCGCTCATCCATTCTCTCGCTCTCAAGCATTCTCTCGCTCTCGCATTCTCTCGCCTCTCGCATTCTCTCGCTCTCGCATTCTCTCGCTCTACCACGCTCTCCATCTCTCGCTCTCGCATTCCTCTCGCTCTCCGGCATCTCTCCGCTTCTCGCATTCTCTCGCTCTCGCATTCCGTCCTGATTCCTTCGCTCTCGCATCTCTCGCTCCTCGCATTTTTCTCTCGTCTCGCATTCTCTCGGCTCCGCATTCTCTGCGCTCTCGCATTCTCTCGCGCCTCGCATTCTCTCGCTCTCGCATTCTCTCGCTCTCAGCATTCTCTCGCCTGCTTCGCATTCTCTCGGCTCTCGCATTTCTCTCGCGTCCGCATTACTTCCT